GGCAACCCAAGCGGGTAACAGGGGGGCCAGGCCGCCAGTTTAAATGCGGGGGGGGGGTGTATCGTACGAATGTTTGATCTTCACAGTCGTTGACCCCCCCTCCGACGCCGCACAGCCCCAAGACGCCGCCGTCGGTACAGGAGTACTCTCTGGGTGTACACATCTAGTGAAGATGCCAAGTTAGCATGCATCCTCTCTGCGGGCGACACCACCAACTGACCATTTGTGTTAACATCGTACAGCTTCCTCCCAGCCGTCATCCCCGGTGACTCGCAACGAACCTCGCGTCGTATACAAATAAGACCGTAGCAGCAAGACATGTGGACGGAGCCTCCGTGTATCCCAAGAGCAGCTTGTCCCATCGGAGGTCTTGTGAGCGAGGTGTTTGAAATGTGATGGGGACTCGGATTGAATGTCATAAATTACTTATTTCTCGGGTTTCTTCGACTCTTGATACGTTGGCCTCCAGTTAGACGAGCTGGGTTCATTGGGTGCATGTACTGTATCGTTGAGAACGTTTTTTATTCCAGTGGGAACTACTGCTGTTTCTCAGCCACTCAAAGCCAGACGATGTACTCTTTCACAACGAGGCAGACCGAGCTGTACCATGAAGTATCGTGGGTCCCTTGCATCCATGTTAAGAAAACAACCGTGTTGCTGATTCTTCTTCACAGCGGCCCGCGCTACGCTGCACCCTTGCGTCTCTTTCGGTCGCGTAGACGAACGCGAGCGTTTTGCCCCACCGAGTGACTTCGACCACGAATCGGGCGAGCGAGTGAACGTAGGGCGATAACAGCGTAATAGCCCATAAGTCGACTTTCAAAGGGAAAAAAGTCATTCACATCGCCTTCGTGTCACGGAAACGCTTGCCCTTCTGCACCATGAAAAACACAGGCGGGAAGCTTCCTGCCAAGTACAGCTTTTTCAACCCCTCCAGACACCGGAATGAAAAAGTTTCGCCTCTCGAGGAGATAATCAACACTTCGCCATCTCTTTTTCCCAAGACTCCACCGCCTCTCGCCGCTGCCCAGAAAAACACGAAGATCGAGAACTCGCGGCAGCTACCAGGCGTCTGATGGCCTCCCCAACGACACCATTTGCCCTCAGCAACGAAAGGTGCTCCCCCGCAGCCGTGTCGCGATTATTGGCACAACCTCCGCGATACGCCACGGTGTCCGAGATAACGCCGAAGAATATCTCCTCGTTCTCTTGACCAAGCTTGGCGCACAGGAGGTCCGTGAGCAAGCCGCAAGCGCGCGGGAACTTCTTGCTTCCGGTACGGCTCCCTTGAAGATGAGGCCGAAGCTTCCCGAGGGCCAACGAAACATCCACCGCCGCCCCCTTAGCACCTCGACCCGCCGGGCTAGTCCCGACAGCTCCAACCTCTGTTGCCGGGCCTCCTCCTGCCGTTTGCCCAGCACTCGTCTTTGGTGCTAGCTCTGGTCTGACGGTAGCCTTCTTCATGTCGACGGGAGCGGACCCCGGGTCCCCTCGGTCTTCCGTTGACGCTGCCAGTAGCGTCGCTGCACTACCCTTGCCCGAGGAAGCGTTAGGATATGACAGTTTGACATCTTCGGCCACCCCTTTTCCTTCGTGGCGGGTCTCGACACTGGCAGGTGGTTTTTCTTCCGGCGGGGGCACATCCGCGTACAGATCAAACATTGCTGCCGCGGGCATCAACCCCCTGCCACCGCCAGCAGCAGACCCTGACAGCAGTGAACCAGAACCACTCCTAGGCCGCTTCTTCGCATCTGACGCGGTAACCCCGGCTGTACTGCCCACATCTCCTCCCGCGGCAGAACCGCGTTGATGTGTCGAACTGGTCGCGGATGCGTCCAGCGTCCTCTTGCCAGCCGCGCCGCCGAGCACCATACCGTTCGCTACCGCTGTCGTTGCCTTGGCGGGGTGGTGGTGGTGGTGGTGATGAGCTTGGTTTTGTTTCATCCAGTCGAAGGGAACATCGGCCGAGAAGCCTCGGCGCCGGAGGCCGTCCGTGAAAATGAGCTCGGCGCGCGAGTAGTCTGCCGGCTCTCCTGGCTCGAGACCTCTCACGTACGTTAGGTACTCGGCGAGGGCCGGAAGACCTCTGCACAAGGTTTCCGCCGTCTGGGGGCGTACGTTGTGTCCGGGGACGGACGGTGCGAGAGAGACGGCCGAGAAAAGGCAAACAAATCGCGGGGTGGGGGTTACAGAACGATTCACAACACACCGCAAGGGTTGCTCTGTGATCCATGTTGTGCGAACTATGATGGCGCTTGGGCGTGTCTCGT